TTTGTGATGCTCTTTCAAGCTGTGATGAAATTTTTGTCTAGATCAAAATTTAGTCTATAATGCAAATGGTCCATTTGCTGTTTTAAAACTGAAATACATAATTATTGTTTCGAAAATATGAAACGAAAACGTTCAACGAAAATTTTGCCAAGAAACTTCGAACCTGCCGTTTGCCCGAAAACGTGAAGCTTAAACCACACGACAGCATAAAAGGTTTGATCACATTGAATCTATATGTGAATTATAGGCATGTTAAACTTTATTATCCACAGAAATCAAAATACGAAAGCTTGCTTTTGACAAACTCTGAGGTTATTAATACCTTAATTTGTCAACAACGTTGTAGCAATGTTAACAGTGAAACGATTTAGGTAAACTTATTCTTGGGTAAATATTGATGTAGTGCAAAGCAATTGCCCAAGACAAGTACACAGCCATAAGTAGCTGAATATTTCATGCACAAATGAGGAAAAATCTTGATTTTCTTACACTTCAAATGTTATGGGTCACTTCCCCTTTGAAGGATTTTGTTTTGCTGTTGAAAATTTGCTTAAAAAACATTTGGTTTACGTATATAACACCATATTGGCACAAACTCTTGCTTAATTAAGAGTGATATCTGGTGGAATGTATGTATTAGACAATTAACAAGGCAGTAGAAACCTAATTCTCATTTCCCATTTTCAATATTTTGTCAAGTGTCTGGCAATATGCAAAGGAAATGTCTAAAATGGTAAAATAACTTGCTTAATGCACTAGATTTGTGAATTCCATGATGCAAAATTCCTACTGTGATCATAGAAACTTTGACAGTGTCAACCAGGCATTGTTGAGTTGAATACTGTACAAAAGCAATTACTGCAAGTGTTGAATATTATAATTTACTGTGCTTGAACAGAAGTGTCTTATAGATGCAAGGTTACTTTAATATTGTACAGAACTCTGAGACACCATGGCTACCTCGTAACAAACAAAATTAAGAGCAATGGATTATAAAAATATGTCTTGAATATTCACACATCTTCACTTCACAGACCATACATTAGATTAATATTTCTTAGAGAACTACCCATTAACCCATATAAGGCATCAACAGATTTCATTAGTAATATTGACCTTTTCCAATATTCTTAATGAACTGTTGTGAAAAACATTTAAAGTTTAAACCGAACCTACTACAAAGAACACATATTGCAAAACTGTCAAAATTATGTCAATATGTTTAAAAACATGCCCAGGGCAGGGGGGGGGGCAATATTATCATAAGTTACCCCCCCCCCCCCCTTGACAAATTAGAATTGAATCAGACTTTACATTTTCAGGCCATTCAAATCTTGAAATTGAAATTTCGAGTTTGAAAAGCATTTCCTCAAAATTTGAGGAATTTGTTAGAAAATCAATGTCTCTCTCAATTTGGGTATTGAAGCTGCGTAAAATTTGTTGTACCTCGAGAGGAAAGGGGGGGAGGGCAAGTGTCTAGCGCGTCCAATATCATTTAATTGACCATTAAATGAAGCAATATGTTCTAAATAAACAAAAACATTGAAATATAATATTTTGCCATAATTATATACAGCAGAACTTTCCCCCAAATTTGCTAAATCTCTCACAAAATTAACCCTTATACTAATATTTGACATTTACACTTTTTTCGGCTACTTTCACGCAAGATACATTAGATTTTTGGCCGAATTTATGAACGTTTATCAAGTTATATTCTATTCAATTCAACTCTTAACACCTTTCAAACTACCTTGCAAATATACTGGGCTTTTATATGTGAGCAAAGAATTACAAAAAACAAAACGAACACGTTCAAATTGGCCTTTAAAACCACGTGTAAACCGGCTTTTAAAATAGTCTTTCCAACCGATTTTAAAGCTACAAATACACATACAAAACACACAAAAAGAACAGCGTTTACCTCTCGGGTTCTTTTCTTTTAGTTTCTGTACTTTTCTACGCGAACGAAGATGAATTTTGACAAAATAAACAAAAAATAAATTCAGAATCAATTTTTCATTTGAAAAATCCGCCATGTTCAGCTTCGTGTTGCCACTTGAAGGAAATTATTTCTCAAAGAAGGAAATTTTTTGTATGGTGAAAAAATAGGTGCGAGAGCGTACGAAACCAATTTGTGTCTAAAGTCTGAACTATCTGAAAAAGATATCTCTGTTTGTGTTGAAACGTGGTGGTCCAGTGTAGGTAGTGTACTACAATAAGCTGTCATGGTTTGTATGTGAACTACCTGAAAAATATATCTTAGATGTGGTGGTTCAGTGTAGGTAGTATTCTACAATAACCTGTCGTGGTTTGTGTCTGAACTACCTGAAAAAGATATCTCAAACGCGGTGGTTCAGTGTAGGTAGTATTCTATAATAAGCTGTCGTAGTTTGTGCCTGAACTACCTAAAAATTTGACAACACTAATGTTTTGAGCAAAAACCACGCCAAGTTATGGCAGGTTCCCATGTCAAGGTCAAGATATATTAGAGCAACTGTCATCAATTTAAGTCCTAAAGTGGTTTATGGTAATATAAGTCATTTAGACGCCAGCCAAACCCATCTTAAGTTTGGTCAAGAAGATCGACCTACTATATCTCGTCAAGAAGCCACTCACAAAGCAATAAAATTTAAGAGTTCAAGTCGCGCCTAATATCCTAGGGCTAGGAGTTGAAAAAATATTGAGACGTAACGATTGAAGAGATCTAGCATGAACGAGTGCACGTTTTGGGAACAGTTGTTGAACAATATAATAGAACTCAAGGATCGACAGATCTGGAAATTATCAAGATTAAAGCTTGCAAGAGTTTATATGATGATTCATTCGCAATATTGTCTTTTGCACGCGAAATCTGAATTGATGACGTGCAATACTGCATTATATAAGGTCACAACAGAATTCTTTTATCAACTCCGGAAAATAATAACAAAAATATAGAAAAAGACATGAGAGAAAGTTCAAAGAGACTCTTTCGCCTTTAATATTCCACAAGTGACAGAAACATTAAGTGTCGTTAATTGCGCACCGAGCGAATTTTTTCTGGTTCCTGGGTTATTTTTAAGTTTAACGAGCGGACGTTATCGTCAAATTATTTAATAATGATACATCGTCACTGATGTTTATAAATCGTTAGTTTTACCCTTGAGTGATCTGATGTTGTACAGAACTCACTGCTGAGTTAAGCATGGTTAGATCATACAGAGGTAGTGCATGTTCTTGAATGTGAGCTACCTTAAAGTGATCTGATGTTGTACAGAACTCACTGCTGAGTTGAGCATGGTTAGATCATACAGAGGTAGTACATGTTCTTGAATGTGGGCTACCTTAAAGTGATCTGATGTTGTACAGAACTCACTGCTGAGTTAAGCATGGTTGGATCATACAGAGGTAGTACATGTTCTTGAATGTGGGCTACCTTAAAGTGATCTGATGTTGTACAGAACTCACTGCTGAGTTAAGCATGGTTGGATCATACAGAGGTAGTACATGTTCTTGAATGTGGGCTACCTTAAAGTGATCTGATGTTGTACAGAACTCACTGCTGAGTTAAGCATGGTTAGATCATACAGAGGTAGTACATGTTTTTGAATGTGGGCTATCTTAATTAAAGTGATCTGACTTTAAAAATTATTACCTCACGCAAACCTCGACGCAAACTTTAAAAAACCTTTGTTTAAACATTACGTAAAAGACAGGAAATTAAGGCGGAGTTGAAACAACTTTTTCTGCAAACATTTATTTAATGTTTTCCGAGTGCTGCCAAGTACTTTACACTAAAATAAATGTTTTAGCTATTTCAAATCACGCCATTCTGATAGTTGATAATCGAAGGGGAAAATTGCGAAGATTACTTACAAACTTATAAACATTCACGATCATTAATAATTCATGAAATGAATATATAATATTGCCCAATTGATAGAGGATCCGAGGTACCTACGATTTAACGTCCTTATCCGAGACGTGAAAGTCTAACCATTTACTGATGTCAATGTAAAGGTAGCTCTTACTCCTCAATTATTTTAAGACCTTGAGTCATAGATATCTTATATACACTAGATAGTGCATCTAATTATTTTGCAATTCAAAAATTGAAGCCGTGATTGCAGACTCAGGATATTCCCATGAAATGAGAAGACTCGTATGTTTTCTATTTCTTAAACAGGGAACCAAATACATTTTCAAACTGTTCAAATGATGAAAGTTATTGTTGTTTTTAAGCGTTTATTAGCGAGTGGGAAACTCCAACATGGCCGCCATCTATTCAAATGAGGGTAACCGCTGGAATATTCTTGGCTTCAATTTTACTTAAAGAGATGCGCTATCTAGTGTATATAAGCAGCTCGATCTCTTCCGAAAATTAAGGCTGTCTTAATTGTAAAAAGCGTTCAAATTAAGACATTGCCTTAATTTTAAACATAACCCCCACCCCAACCCACCCTAACCTCTAACACCTAACCCCCCCCCTAACCGCTAACCCTAATCTAATCTTAGTCTAACCCTAATCCAATCCAAATCTGGCGACTTTTTTTTCACACCACATGTGCTGGTCGTAAAGAAGAATCCCAATTAGGAAGATAACAATACTAATTAATAATTATGACATTGACCGTAATTCGTATGGAAGATGATTAACATTAAAATACTCATTAATAATTCATACAGGATATTCAAAAGAAACGAATGTTTAATCAATGTTTGCAAATCGGACAAAGATTTGTCCTGATTTATATAAACTTCAGCTTTGATTTTCTCGGTTTCGCCAATGAACTCATAAGATGGGTCGTTTTTAAGTACGTTAATTTCGGCTCAAGTTTTTATATCAGATAAAGATTGGCTGCTTATTAATTGCTAATTAATTTTTTAGGTTGTCTTGTAAGTGTAATTGGTTCCACCCAATAGCACTGATCGAAATCTACGATCGATTCGAACTTGTGTGTCCGACACTAAGAATCCATACGCTGTTATTGGCCAAGCGCTCAAGACCTGTAGATCACATGAACCTGAATATTTTCCAGAGAAAATGGAAAGGAGGGATTGATGCCAAAGGCATGAATGAATTGAAGAAGCAAATGATTAGTGGAGAGTTCTGTGACCCTACACATAATGACACAGGTAATGGCAGTTCTAGCAAGAGGCAATCGATGCGCCCTTACCCCCTAACACAGAGTACTTCCCGATCTTATTTGGCAGCTAAAATCCAAGTCAATCAGTAAAACATTTATCGATATGATATCAGTTCTAAATTACTGTTCCGTCGTTTTTATCAATTCTAAGTTACCGTTTCATCGCATATTTTGTAAGATGTCAGTTTCAAATTACTGTTTCATCTTTTGTCAGCTATCAGTTAAGATATTTTGTAAAATGTCAGTTCCAAATCTCTGTTTCATCAGACCTATCAAGTCATCAACAATCGTTGAAGTACGAACCAAATATATATATATATATATATATATATATATATATATATATATATATATATATATATATATATATATATATATATATATATATATATATATATATAACTTTAAAGCAAATTCTTATTCTCAATTATATAGCAAAAATATATACATGTAAAATGGGTGCGCCAGAAGGACAGATGATAAGATTTGCGGGAGACGCTGGTTTTTATTCAGACGACATTGTGGTGTATTTTAGTAAGTATTGCATTCTTCAGTTTAGTTACATTTTTGGCATGGTTACGGTTCTAGAACATATCTCATGGTGTCATAGAAGCCCGAATCTTATTAGTCTTAAATTAAGTCTGATTTTACAAATGGCCCAAGCGCATTATGGCTGTTCTGAAAATTTATAAGACAGCTTCTTAAGGCGTGGTTTACACTATCAAAGTTTCTGTGATCACAGTAGCAATTTTGCATAGTTAAATTCTAAGTTCTGAAGGATTTGTAAGAAATGTTTGAGGAAACCACTCCGTGCTAACAATGACTCAGTTCGCTTACAAACCTTCAAAACGTAGAGTTGACTTATGCAAATTTACTACTGTTATCACAGAACATTTGATACTGTGAAGCGCCCTTTATTGCTAAGTATTATGATCAAATTGTTGTACCATATTCTAATAATAGTTTATAACTCTTCAACAGATAATCACGACGATGGAAGAAAGACCAGTCTCGCAAGTACTGATAAGCGTTGCGCCATGGCCTTGGTGACGAAAGCCACCTGGAATGTTGCCAAAAAATATGACTTCACTTATGGAAAGAATTTAGATGAACTTCGTAAGTTTACTTTCTTATGTGGTGGGTTTAAGTCAGCGTTGCAGGGCAGCAGATGGTCGTCGACCTCAGAGATGTTCACACTTTTAAAAGGAAAAAAAATTGATCGTTAATTAAGATGTAACCACAATTAAACTGCAGTATGGCTGGAACCAAACAGCGAGGAAAATGTCACCCATATAGCGAAATGTCTTTAATTTCCATCACGTTATTTCTACTTTTAAAAGCTCAGAGAGATTAAGTCTTGGAGTAAAATACTTGCCACTAGCAAGTTATTGAACTAACAGCTTTAACCGTTGTATTAGTTCTTAACTTTAAATTGAACTTTGTTGCAGTGCCAGAATGTAATGACGTCAACACAACATGTAAAAAAGAAGGAAGCACACCAGCGCCATGCACATCAATACCACCATCAACACTATCATCAACAACAACACCAACAACACCAACAACAACAACAACAACAACAACAACACCATCAACAACAGCAACACCATCAACATCAACATCAACAAACACTGGAAACACCACCACAAAAGGCCCCAATTCGGCGAACCAATCAGCAGAAAGGACCAAGACTTGGGATAACTTCAGAAATGGTTTCCTTGCTGGATTTGCGACGTTGTTGATCCTGATGTTTTTCGCTGCTTTGATTTACTGTTTATTCTGTCGATCACACAAAAAGAAGAACAGAAAAAGTAATTACTGTAAGATTATAGTGTAAGAGTTAGTGCTACAGTTCTCACTAGTTTAGGTTTCCTCCTGTATAAGAGATTACTCTTACTGGACCTCTAGGAAGAACAGTTTAGAACTGATAGGGCTATCTAGTATAAATAAAGTTAGTTTAGTTTAGATTTCCTTCTGCAGTAACACTGGATCAATAAGAGATGATTCTTACTGGACCTCTAGGAAGAACAGTTTAGAACTGATAGGGCTATCCAGTATAAATAAAGTTAGTTTAGTTTAGATTTCCTTCTGCAGTAACACTGGATCAATAAGAGATGATTCTTACTGGACCTCTAGGAAGAACAGTTTAGAACTGATAGGGCTATCCAGTATAAATAAAGTTAGTTTAGGTTAGATTTCCTTCTGCAGTAACACTGGATCAATAAGAGATGATTCTTACTGGACCTCTAGGAAGAACAGTTTAGAACTGATAGAGCTATCCAGTATCAATAAAATTAGTTTAGTTTAGGTTTCTTCCTGCAGTAACACTGGATCAATAAGAGATGATTCTTACTGGACCTCTAGGAAGAACAGTTTAGAACTGATAGAGCTATCCAGTATAAATAAAATTAGTTTAGTTTAGGTTTCTTCCTGCAGTAACACTGGATCAATAAGAGATGATCCTTACTGGACCTCTAGGGAGAACAGTTTAGAACTGATAGAGCTATCCAGTATCAATACATAAAGTTAGTTTAGGTTCCTCCTGTAGTAACACTGTATCAATACGAGATGATCCTTACTGAAACTCTAAGGAGAACAGTTTAGAATTGTAGAAATATCGAGTATGAATAAAGTTACTGTAATCTCTATTAAGCCACTGGAAGCTTATGGAGGATTACAATAGTTTAGCTTAATTTTAATTAGCTCATTTAGGGTGAAGGAATCTTACATATTTTGTTTCTAATTATATTTCAGCAAATGGTGTTTCATACAAGGTTGAAGATCAACGTCAAAGCACTCCTGTCAGCAATGCAGGATCAGCAGAACCACTACCAAAGAAAACTCCTTTGGCTTTGCCCAATAACAATAATAGTAAGTCATAGTCGCCTATACGATTGGATAGGAAAAACTTATTTTCACTCTGATCATTTGCTTCGTTTTAATACCAAGACATTTCAATAATTAGTACAAATATTTTGTTTATAGACCAGGGAATCAACAACATAGGTTTTAAAAGAGAGACTTTGGAACGAGTTGACAGTCCTGCTTAACAGAAATTGTCCTTTCAATCAGGTAAACTAAATCGTATTTAATTACTTAAAAATAATTGCATTTAATTACTTTGTATCTTATATATTGTTGTATTTGTATTCTATTGTGTTCCATTGTGTTCTATTGTATTCTTGCATTTTATTCTATTAATTATCAATGATTCTTTTCTACTTCTATTGTGTTTCCACTACAACTACTAATTTTCATTGTATTTTGCAATTTTCTATAGACACAAAAGACCACCTTCCCTCGCAAAATAAATCTCGTAGAAAACACATAATATACTCACAGACAATGAAAGGGAAATAATTCACAATTAAAACGGTGTTGAAAAAGAAAACAATTTTTTAACTGGTTTCACAGTTGTAAATAAAAACGTAGTTAATAAAATAGGTATCATAGAATTACAGTTTTGGGCAGTATAAATGCAAAATACAAATAAATAATAGTATGGCATTCAGGTCGAATAGTGATTAAATGTACCCGAAAGCCGAGAGAGGTTTAGTAAACCTATTTTACTAATACTCAACCTCTCGAGGTTTGAGGGACATTTCATCACTAATCGACCGTAATGCTATGCTATCACTTTGTAATATCATAGCTACCGAGACAGTAAAACGGTTTCTGACAAATGAATCAATAACTTTAAGCGATGAAGATAATTTATTAGTAAATTCGTATATTGACAATTAAAGCCAGTCACATATCGGAGGTCTTTTGCAAGGAGCAAATGTTCAGACTGAAAACATTAACATATTGTGAATAAATGATATGAATTGTTATCTTTTGTGAGTTAATTGAACATCAATATAAGAGGTTAGGCATAAAGATGAGGAACGATTAGTAACTATTCGTCCCGTGGGATGATTAGTTTCTAATCGTCCCTCATGTTTTAGCAATGAGGTAAATTAGTCATTAATCGTCCCTCGTGAAACAAAGGATTTCGAGGTAGCTGTGATATTATTAGACTTATCATCCAGTCACTAGACTTAGGTTGGTTTGACTTATATTATCGTTAGTTTTTCATAACCATAGTTTTTCATTAGATACAATTACATCTCACAAGCACCTATGGCAATCAATCTAACCACGCCCATACTAATATGTAAAGACATATAGAATAAATATATTAATTTAATTCACTCAAAAATGGAATTATTTAATCATATCCATGAATGTAACATAAAATGTACGTCTTTGTTAATGTAATATTTGTAAATTTGTTACCAGAACGAGATTTGTATAAAATTTGCAAAGTAGAAATTGAAGAATAAATTGGGTTTCTTTGTATATTTTTTAACTCCTTCCTATACATATACACAGTATATATACAAATAATACAAAATTTTAACACAAAATGCTTCTAAAAATATTACTTATAAATACAGGTTAAATATTACTTGGACTAGTTCAAATTCTTCATTTTAGCAAAGGCAACAATTTACTTATAAATACAGGTTAATTATTACTTGGATTAGTTCAAATTCTTCAATTGAGCAGAGGCAACAATTTACTTATAAATACAGGTTAATTATTACTTGAATTAGTTCAAATTCTTCATTTGAGCAAAGACAACAATTTACTTATAAATACAGGTTAATTATTACTTGGATAAGTTCAAATTCTTCATTTGAGCAAAGACAACAATTTACTTATAAATACAGGTTAATTATTACTTGGATTAGTTCAAATTCTTCATTTGAGCAAAAGCAACAATTTACTTATAAATACAGGTTAATTATTACTTGGATAAGTTCAAATTCTTCATTTGAGCAAAGACAACAATTTACTTAAAAATACAGGTTAATTATTACTTGGATTAGTTCAAATTCTTCATGTGGCCAACCAAAATGTGCTTGGTTTTGTCATGGATAAATGTTGGCTGAAATTCGATCCAGAGTGAGAAAACAATGTTCATTCGTTTCATTCTAAGTAGTAGTCTTGTATTTGGAAGCGAATAAATAATGTTGAGAGACTGATGTAGTTTCATTTTCGTGCTCAAAAAGTGTCAACATTTCTGAAGTCGACATCTGCTGTCCTGTAAAGCTGACTGAAATAATATTCTCCAAAATAGCAGGCGTGCGGGTTATTTTACAAAGATTCTCTGTTTCAAACCTCGTTATTTTGATGCAACCAAATCCATGGCAAAGTCCTGGTTTTTATTTTTATCCAACGAGTTCACTCCACTGACGCTTGAGCGATATCCTTGGTTGACATTCTTTGATGTTGTTACAGGAACTAGCGAGAAATATCACATTAGTTTCTGGTCAGAACGAGGTTGGGTCGCCCTTCGGTTACAGTTCACACGAAGAGTGCACATTAGATTATGTCTTCCACATACGTAAAAATCTCACAACTTCTCAACAAGATGTGTTCGCAACAGACTTGTAGCAAGCTTGTCAACAAGTTGTAACAATGCTGTTATTTTATCAAGTTGCTACAAGGTTGTCACTCACAACTTGTAACAAGTCTGCTGAGCTCAATAACTTGTAGCAAGTTGTTAACAACCTGTTGACAACGTGTTAACAAGCTGGAACAAGCGCAATGCGAACACATCCTGTTGACAAGTTGTTGGAACAGCATTGCAACAAGTCTGCTGCAGGTTTGTTACAACTTGTGCGTTTTTACGTGTGTAGCTCGAGTCTTTCGGCTCACCATAATTGCCCTCTGCAGATTCTTCCAATGGGGCTGTGATGATGTAGATATGTACTGTCGCGTCCTGTACTGTACTGTACTGTACTGTACTGTACTGTACTGTACTGTACTGTACTGTACTGTACTGTACTGTACTGTACTGTACTGTACTGTACTGTACTTTTTTTCTTTTTTTTTTTTATTTCGATATGACAAAAAGAAAAATTAAATTACAAACGTACAAATACCACACATAAATACTTTAAAGTGTCAGGAACCAACAACAGGGTTAAAAACCCCAATAACAGTGGCCCATTATAAAATATAAATAAAATAAAATCAGCAACACTGTGATTGCTTTACTAAAACAGAACAGTTATGACATTTTGGACACACAGTTTTCCAAGTTCTTGGATTGTCAGTGTCATAAATAGTTTTTAGACAATCTTTGTAGTATTTCAATAGACTATTTTTAAACTGACATAAAGTTTCTAATAATCGTATGGATGATGGCAGTTCATTCCAAATTCTAGCAGTTCGAATAAAATAACTAGATTGATATGTTACTGTACGTACTTTTGGGATATCAAACATTAAACCTGATGAAGGATTACTTCTTCTCGTTACACGTAATGGTTGTTTAACTTTTAAGAAGTCATGCAACTTTAAAGAAAGCATGCCAGATGCCAGCTTGTACAAATACAACACATCCAAATATTCATGCCAATACGACATCGGTAAAAGATCTAATTTTAAGAGCCGGTCTTTGTATGTAATAGTAGTATCACATGGTAGGCATAGAATATACTTTGTTGCTCTTCTCTGCAAAGATTCCAATTGCTTGATTAGATGTACTGACTGTGGAGCCCAAACTTGTACTGTACTGTACTGTACTGTACCAAACTTGTACTGTACTGTACTGTACTGACACAAACCACAGCATTTTATTATGGCATAAGACCCCACAATATAAATAATTTAAACTTACGCATTTCTTTTCGTTGTTTTGCCTTCAAAATCCAAACCAGGGCTGAGACAGCAAAAGCTGCTATTGCCCCAACTATTACGCCAATGAACAATGACATCGAATCAACTGTGGACCCATTACAACCTTGTTGAGCCTGGGCTGTTGGCCGTTCAGCAGTCGCTAGGTAATGGAGAGGAATGTTTTTCAAGTGATGTTCACAGACTAGTAAAAACTCAACTAACTTTATTTATCCTGGATAGTTCCATCAGTTCTAAACTGTTCTTCCTAGAGGTCCAGTAAGGATCATCTCTTATTGATCGAGTGTTACTACAGGAGGAAAACTAAACCAAACCAACTTTATTTATATTGGATAGTTCTATCAGTTCTAAACTGTTCTTCCTAGAGGTCCAGTAAGGATCATCTCTTATTGATCCAGTGTTACTACAGGAGGAAACCTAAACTAAACTAACTTTATTTATATTGGATAGTTCTATCAGTTCTAAACTGTTCTTCCTAGAGGTCCAGTAAGGATCATCTCTTATTGATCCAGTGTTACTACAGGAGGAAACCTAAACTAAACTGACTTTATTTATACTGGATAGCTCAATCACTTCTAAACTGTTCTTCCTAGAGCTCCAGTTAGAGTCAAGTGCCATTTATCTTGGCGATCAAAATGTTCTCTAACAGGAAAGAGTTGTGTTAAGTTCAATATCTGGATGAATATTTTACCTTTCATTGTTGAAGATGCATGAATTTGTGTAGATGTTACAGTACTAGGAGGAAATTCTGTAGTCGGTATTTCTATGATCAGATATGAAAAGAAAATTAGCCTAAAAATCTAAACAAACTCTACTTATACTGGATAGCTCCAACAGTTCTAAATTGTTCATCCTAGAGGTCGAGTAAGAGTCATCTCTTATTTATCTAGTGTTACTACAGGAGGAAACCTAAACTAAGCTAACTTCATTTATACTAGATAGCTCTATCAGTTCTAAACTGTTCTTCCTAGAGGTCCAGTAAGGGTCATCTCTTATTGACCCAGTGTTACTACAGGAGGAAACCTGAACTAAACTAACTTTATTTCATATTGGATAGCTTTATCAGTTCTAAACTGTTCTTCCTAGAGGTCCAGTAAGAATCATCTCTTATTGAACCAGTGTTACTACAGGAGGAAACCTAAACTAAACTAACTTTATTTATACTGCATAGCTCTATCAGTTCTAAAACGTTCTTCCAAGAGGTCCAGTAAGGATCATCTGTTATTGATCCAGTGTTACTACAGGAGGAAACCTAAACTAAACTAACTTTATTTATACTGGATAGTTCTATCAGTTCTCCTTACTGGACCTCTATCATCTCATATGTTCTTCTAAAATCAAACTGGAAGCATTCTTCTCACAAGTGACTGAGGTGAAATTATAGTGAGACAACTGCATATTGCAGAAATCAAACCTCAGTCACAGAGATGAAATACACATGCACTGACCACATTAGGGAGTTTACGATTTACGACGCGGCCGGCTCGACGACGCGCTTTCAAAACAAAGAAATTTGGTGTTTCCACAAACAATAGTACTATGTGTTTTATCGCCATGCAAACCTACAAAGAACTTACAAAGAAATTTGTCATGCAAGACAAAAACTATCAATAATTTGTGGTCCCATGAGTATTGTCAACCGCGTTGTTATTCTCAACACAACGTTAAAAAAGCATTATTACGTCTTTCAGGCAACGCGAAAGCCTAATGCGACACAAGAGGTGTTACTAAAAGTTGTAATTACAGCAAACATTGCATCGCATTAGCCGAACATAGCATTTTGTAAGGTTATTTGAAAGAGTCAAATATTTATTACAGTAATCGAAGTGCTTAGCGCTCATTCTTGAGCTAAAATTTAGACCGCGTCGTTGAGCCGGCCGCGTCGTAAATTCCCTAATAAATACTTGGTCAACATGGAGTAAACACCACCAGCCGAAGCCAATCCTTACCCAGGGTCTTAATTATTGATTCCTCAGAGTAGTTCCCAGGTCTTTTGAAATTGTGCGCTCTAACACGTATCCCATATGAAGTATAAGCATCGAGACCATGGATGACCGCTGATAGTTGTGTAGGCTCAAAAATTGTTGTTTGACAATCGCTCCCCAGGCTCCTATTCGGTTCCTCTCGGACACATAAACTGTAGTAAATCACATCGCCCACAATGACACGTGGGGTTCGCCAACTGATTGTTACAGATGAGGTGGTTGTATTGGATAATGTAACGTTTTGCGGTGCACTAGTGATGGCTTGATCTGCATAGAAAAAAATAATTACGTAAAAATGTTGTTACAGATCTGCAAACACGTTGATACAAATCTGTTCACAAGCTGTCGACAAGTTGTGTTCGCAATGCTTGTTCCCAGTTGTTGTGACAAGTTTGGAACAAGCTGTTAACAACTTGTAACAAGCTTGATGGCATTATCAGATTTGTTACAAGGTTGTTCTAACAAGTCTGATACAGTCATGATATAATAAGAATGTTACAAGGTTGATGACACAAGGTTGTAACAATATTGCTATATCATGACTGTATCGGACTTGTTGGAACAACCTTGTAACAAGTCTGATAATATCAACAGGATTGTCACGAGTTGTTAACAGCTTGTTCCAAGCTTGTTGATAACTTGGGACAAGCAGTGCGAACACAACTTGCTGACGGCTTGTTGACAAACTTGTTACAAGATGTGAGATTTTTGTGTATGTAAGTTGTGGCGAATAATTCTGGGATCCACTTGGAATTCACCTTTTCCAAAGTTCTGTAGATGACGAAAATCTATGACGCAACACGGGTCGAAAAACATAATATTCGTCTACCTTGAGTTTTATTTGAAATTTCCTCAGAATAGTTTCCAGGTCCTTTACATGTGACCGCGCGCACACGTATGAAGTAATGCGTCGAAGCGTCGAGATTTTCTAAGACGGTGGAATTAGCATGAGCTGCGACAATTTTAGTCCGACATGCTTGCGAGGTGTTCGTGCGATAACAGATGGAGTAGTGTGCGACTGCGTTGTCTCTGTTCAGCGGTGGCTTCCAGGAGATCTTCAACGATGATGACGCGTTATTTGTGACTTGTATATCCCATGGTGCATCGCTCAGTTTTGATTTACGAACACAAACTAAACAGAAAAGATAGATCTATTACTATTTATTACTCTCTTTATGTATATGTAAAGATGTGTTTCACAAAGCACTATCGTGCAGCAGTTGGTGTTCAACCCGCAGTGATCAGAGTGAGAAAATAATGTTCATTCTTTTCATTATATGTAGTAGTCTTGTGTTTGGAGGAAAATAAAATTGAAAGATGTAGTTTAACTTCCTTGTTCCTCTAAGTATCAACATTTCTGAGATTCAGCACCATCATTTCTTAGTTTTAATATTTACAAGTGTTCTCATACCTTTCTCCCTCCCGAACGAGGGGCAGAGTGGTACTGGACAATGTTGTTTAGCCTCGCAGACGTGAATCCTAAAAATCATTGTGCATTTTGTTGAAGCCGTTTTCAACGAGTTGTGCAGTCCATTGGATGTCGCTAGAAAGAATGAAATGAAGATAATTTAATAACTTTATTTATACTGGATAACTCTATCAGTTCTCCACATAGAAACTTACAAAAGAAAATGTAATCCATGCCAACTTTGAATGTTGGATCCTTGGGAAATGCCTGTACTTCACTAATTTGCAGTCCTCTGTAATCGATTTTAAAATCATGCGTTTGGTTGCACGAGTACACGTGATGCGACTCTAAAAAGAAAAATTAGTTTGTTACACGCAATGCCTACCATATCATACTTTACCATACAATACTACAGCATACCATAGCACACCATGCCATACTTTTTCATACCATACCACAAGCATACCATATCATACCATACTACAGCATACCATAACACTACAATACCACACCAAACTACAGCATACCATAACACACCACACTTTAACATACCATATCACCCCATACCATACTTTTTCATACCGTCAAACCCTCATTAATAATTTATAACGTATTGGCAAATCATGTCAACCATAATATGTCACGTGAAGAAGCTTTATACCTGATAAAACTCATTTTCATGATAAAACTCATTATACATGATAAAACTAATTTTCAAGTCCATCCTAATTAGTATTCTTTATATAAAGAATACTAATGATATGGCATCTATTGTAGTCTGTCCACTTTCTGCAAGATGTCCGCTGACAATACAAGCCCGCACGAGTGGGAGACATTTTGCTAAATTTGACCAACGTATACCATACTATACTATATTATACCAGCATTAGTTATGGAACTGGTTACTCACTTTTAGGATCACAAACTGTATTATAGTCCAGATTCGTATCATTAGGGTTGACTTCTCTCACATAGAGATTATAATATATTCCAACGCTCGCCGTTTTTAATGGAATAAAACTGATCTTAGTATTTGGACACAGAAACGTTACACTCTGGTAGAGTTTGACGCCAACAACGTCTGACCAATAATCAGGATGAACTCTAAATATTACAAAAATACGGTTAAACTAACTTTATTTATACTGGATAGGTCTATCAGTTCTAAACAGTTCTTCCTAGAGTTCCAGTAAGGATCATCTCTTATTGATCCAGTGTTACTACAGGAGGAAACCTAAACTAAACTAACTTCATTTATACTGGATAGCTCTATCATTTCTAAACTGCTCTTATTAATATACAGGAAGAAATCGCAGTACCGGAAGAAATCTCGTCGAGTCAAAATAAAGCACTCTTCTCACATGTACATGCGACTGATGTGGTGAAATTACCATCAGACAACTGGATATAGCAGGAATGAAACCTCGGTCACAAATTGAAAGGCATGTTCACTAACCAATGTGTCACCACAACTGTATTAATTCGATCATGCTAATCATATCTTGAACCATATATATATTTAAAAATCTCATTAATAATTTACGAGGAAAATACAAAAGAAATGAATGTTTAATCAATGTTTGTAAATCGGATAAACATTTGTCCTGATTTTACATAAACTTCAGCTTTGAATTACCGGCTTAGACAATGTTTATTTTTAAAATTACTTCGCCAATGAACTCATAAGATGGGTCGTTTTTTAAGCACGTTAAACATTCGCATCCAATCCTTATCTGATATACAAATTCTCTCCAAATTCGGCCCGATTTGTATATCAGATAAAGATCAGCTGCTCATGTTTTATCTAGTACACATATACAATAAATTAACCACAAACTTACGCTGGTGCTCTGGGTTCCCAGTAGATCGTCGGCAGAATATCTCCTTTGACAAACATCGACAAACAAGATACACATATCAAAAACGTTATAGAATGGGCCATTTTCTCAGCGTTTAATTAAAAGTAATTTCAATTAAAATTGGTCAAATTGAGGATATATTCTTGACTTTTATACACTGGAACGGCTTCTTTTTCTTGACAAACGAAGGCTGTAAATAAGAAGTACAAGTCTGTTCAAAACTTTCAATAGTTTAAAAGTTGTGTATTAATATGTCAACACGGCTCTAGGAGTACTTCTGACGAATGAAATATTAATTCTAGCTGACTCCATATATCATACCTTTGCTATGCAACGCTAGTTTGAAACAAAGAGCTCACACAAAGACCATACAAATTAATTCCAAAATTGTATAACCACTCCTAAAACATACTTAATTGCAGGAACCACTATCCGTCATAGGATTAGCATAATTATTGTTGGTAGAAATGCATCTGTTCTTGCTGGTGATTATAGTATCGTACTCTGCAGGGGTTTGTGCATCGCACAGTCGTCTATTCAGCTTCGCTTCTTCGACCCTGGCCAGACTCACGTAGTATACATTCCTGCATAGTAAGAAATACCTTCCCCATATGTGAGTTAAAATAAAGAATGATAAGGAATAGCTTCCTCGTATGTCAGTTAAAATAAGGAATGACTTTTACTGGACCTCTATATAGGGAGAACAGTTTAGAACTGATAGAGCTATCCAGTATAAACAAAGTTAGTTTAGTTCAGGTTTCCTCCTGTAGTAACACTGGATCAATAAGAGATGATTCTTACTGGACCTCTACTCTAGGGAGAACAGTTTAGAACTGATAGAGTTATCGAGTATAAATAAAGTTAGTTTATGTTTAGGTTTCCTCCTGTAGTAACACTGGATCAATAAGAGATGACTCTTACTGGACCTCTACTCTAGGGAGAACAGTTTAGAACTGATAGAGCTATCGAGTATAAATAAAGTTAGTTTATGTTTAGGTTTCCTCCTGTAGTAAAACTAGATCAATAAGAGATGACGTTTACTGGACCTCTAGGAAGAACAGTTTAGAACTGATAGAGCTATCCAGTATAAATAAAGTTAGTTTAGTTCAGGTTTCCTCCTGTAGTAACACTGGACCAATAAGAGATGATTCTTAGTAGACCCCTGGGAAGAACAGTTTAGAACTGATAGAGCTATCGAGTATAAATAAAGTTAGTTTAGTTTAGGTTTCCTCCTGTAGTAAAACTAGATCAATAAGAGATGACGTTTACTGGACCTCTAGGAAGAACAGTTTAAAACTGTATTAACATGGTTCGTACATGTGAGAAAGAGTCAAATTCAAGGACATTCAAAGCCACGTATCAGCAAATTCAAGAATACTGAATAAATACTGAAGAAAAGGGGTTAGCAAAAATCAATTCAACAAAATGTCAGTTTTGAATGTCAAACAATTCCAGAAAATATCCAAAAACTAAAGCGAGAAAAATTTAAGGACTTTCAAGTACTTTTTTACAAATTCAAGGACATTCAAGGCCTTGAATTTTCAAATTCAAGGAAGTTTAGTTAAGGTTGGTTCAACACAATCGACGATTTAAGATAAAAATATCTTTTTATAAAAGCACTTGGCGGTGCCTAAACCACTTTGAAAGTAACATTTTTTAATTGTTTTTTTGCGCCAAGGTAGAAATTATGTCATTGTTATCGCAGAAACGTTTATAAAGTATAGAAAACTCATTGTCGGAAAGCCAGGTTTGTCGACGAGAGTTTCCTCAAACAGGAAAGAACAACAATAGATCTATAATGGTACCTAGCGGGCATATTTTATATCACGTAGCTTCCCAATTGACTTTTTGACAGCTCAAATTCCTAGTACTTCTAGTTTGACTTCAAATTATGCACACACTTGCCTTCAAAAATCAATAAGGGAGAACAGATTAGGTTTCATCGTGTAGTAACATCAGATCAATGTTAAGAGATAATCCTTACTGGACCACTAGGAAGAACAGTTTAGAAGTGATAGAGCTATCCAGTATAAATAAAGTTAGTTTAGTTTAGGTTTCCTCCTGCAGTAACACTGGATCAATAAGAGATTATCCTTACTGGACCTCTAGGAAGAACAGTTTAGAACTGATAGAGCTACCCAGTATAAATAAAGTTAGTTTAGTATAGATTTCCTCCTGTAGTAACACTGGATCAAAAAGAGATGATCCTTACTGGACCTCTAGGAAGAAACGTTTAGAACTGATAGAGCTATCCAGTATAACTAGAGTTTTCTCAACTTTCATTGCTTGATCAAACGAGAACAAGAGTTGCATGAGAGTTGACAAGCGAGAGGCAGTTTACATGAGAGTTAGATAATAGTTTGAAGGGTATAGTGTTGGTCGTTGCACGAGAAAAAGTCAAATGCTTCAAAGAATTATCTCCCTACTGCGGTAAACTCACATTTTCTTGTGGACTGACGTTCTTCCGATAATGTCTTCCTGATTATTCGTATATCCTCATTCACCTCGAGAGCCTCGAAATGACTTCCTGCGCCTGAAAATGACGCAAATGAGATCATTAAAATAAGCGGGTATGCAAGTCCCGCCTGTAAGGCAGCAAAAACTGATTTGCATACAAAACAACTTCCGATTGACAGGGATAGAACTACTTGTAGCAAGGTGTTGGACAACTGTGGAAATTGCTTGCTTCAAAGACTGCAAAAAATGCAAAAGAGAGCAGCAAGAGTAATTACTGGAACGTCATATGAAGTAAGATCTAGTGAAATATTAAGAAAGCTTGATTGGCAAACATTAATAGAAAAGCGAAGGAAGTGCCATAAAGCCATATTTATCGGTATAAAATCAAGCACACCAATGAACCTCGGCAATGTATGGCCAACGTTTTTAAAGTAAAAAATAACACAAGGCAATCGATTCCATAAGCTTGCGGCTGAATAACTTATACCTCTTTTCATCATATTAGTTCTTGGCATTTCCAGTGAGAAATCGATATTGTTACCTTCGTTGTAACAATATCGATTTCTCACTGGAAATGCCAAGAACTAATATGATGAAAAGAGGTATAAGTTATTCAGCTGCAAGCTTATGGAATCGATTGCCTGGGTTTGCGAAGTTGAGCAATGTTCCACTACATAGATTTAAAGCTATTCACCGGGACAGTTTAACTTAACTTGATTATATGACTTGTAAATAGTTGGAAAGTGTGTAATTTTAATAAGTTAAGTATTTAGTATAGTTTTTTTTTAGTTAAATAGTATAGGTGTGCAAATAGTATAAAGTTAAATAGTATAGGTGTGTATAAATAGGTGTGTTAAAGTGTCAAGTGTCGTGTAATAAATAGGTGTGTTAAAGTGTGTAAATAAGTTTGCAAACGGTCTCTTGAAAAGCAACTCCCTACGTGGGTTCAAAGATTACCGTCAGTTTTAAAGATGATTAAATAATAATAATAAACTTGAACAATACAAGGAAAACCTCAACGAGGAAGGGACGGTCCTTTCTCGGGAAGTAACTTTTCAACGAAGCGCTTTCGCTCGAAACGTCGAAATTCAGTTCTTGTATTTTTGTGGTAGTTGTATCCCTCTCAATTCATTGCAGTGGTCTGGTTAACGTCACTGTCTAAACAGAACTGTTTGTGATTTACATACGGAACAATATTTCCACTCAGAAAAATTTTCCGAGAAAAGAAAAATTTGTAAAATGTGATTTGGCCGACACGAATTTTTCGTCGGAAAAATTTTGAAGATGAAAATTTTCGACTTTTAACAATGATATTTTCGGAAAATTTTCTGTACGTGGAAATTTTTCTGGAGTGGAAATGGGCGTTAAGACAGTTTCAGACAAGTTCAGATCTCAGAAGACTTGAAGAAAAATATACTGTGGGTGTATTGACAACGTATTTTTGTGGACGTGATCAACAAACATGACGCTTGAGAGGAATTGTCACATACTCATAATTCAACGTCTTTTAAAACTGTCGAAACGTGCACGATAGAGAAGACAGCACTTGACAACTTTTGAAGGACTTGAATCCCTCATATCAAATCCCGAAATATGCTATTTGGAGAAAACATTCTTCTTTTTTTCAATGTTGCGTTTTTGCGTTCAAAACCGACATTTTTTACGTAACGTATCTGCCTAGTGGAAAACCGGCTTTACTGACCTATAAGACCCTTAATCTAAACTTAAAACTAATTCTTAACCCATCCCTAACCTAAGGTTTTCCTGGTAACAAATTAGATAATACATATGCTATGTCAATGAAGCCATTGTCACGTTCCTGGCTCTGACGAAAAACACTTTTAATTTGATCCAAAAATTTAAATTGTTTAATTTGCCCACATTTGACGTGCATGGAAGACTAGTGTCGATTAAAACTATAGACATTGTAATTTAATGTTATAAATTATTTCCTCCAATTTTCAAAAATTATTCCCCGTTTTAGCGCAAAATAATATTGCCCCCGCTGGTACTGCAATGCATGTGATTTAAATACAATGGTGTAAAAATATCAGCTCATCCTGGTTCTAAGAAAACGTAGGTGTAACAATAAAACAACATTTGCATATTCTTGCATATCTGGTATAGAATTGAGGATATTCCAAGCTTTTCAAGGTTACAGTATTTATTTCCACGTATAGTACATGTTCTTGAATGTGAGCTACCTTAAAGTGATCTGATGTTGTACAGAACTCACTGCTGAGTTAAGCATGGTTAGATCATACAAATGTAGTACATGTTCTTGAATGTGAGCTACCTTAAAGTAATCTGATGTTATACAGAACTCACTGCTGAGTTAAGCATGGTTAGATCATACAGAGGTAGTACATGTTCTTGAATGTGGGCTACCTTAAAGTGATCTGATGTTGTACAGAACTCACTAAATTTCTCCCGAGGTTTCTCCTAGCTTCTGTGAGGCCATTACACCGTGTCTAACCATTCAAAAGACAAGCACAAAGAATCTTTGTCCATATAATAAACATATCTCGAGAATATACGTGGAATTATATCTGATGTAAAAAGCCTTAAAAGGGAATTGAATGGCCAATATTAACATGCTTGGTGTTGTCAGGGTGTCTTTTGACGTCAAGTGATTATATGCAAATGCCTTCCTTTTAAAACAAACTATATTATCCTATAATTATATAAGTTTTTCTATAGGCTTAGAAATTTAGGGGATTTATAGAAAAAATAGAATTAGTAAGGTCACCCTAGGTTAGTTAAATGTCAATAGTTAAATTATAAAAATTTATAACACAAAGACTCCTCAAATCTAGTGGACGAGCCAGTATTTTCTTGGACTACTCATAAGTATACTATTATGCATACACCTTTTGTGAATAAAAAATGAATGAAATAGTATCGTAAACCTTACTCGAACCGACCTGACTTACTCGAACTGACCTGACCACGTAGCTCACTTGGCAGAGCATTGGGCTTGTATTCCAAACGTCGTAGGTTCAATTCCCACCGTGGCCAGGCATATTTTTCAAGCCTGCCCGGTGTGGATATACACTCAGAGTAACATCACAAATATTATATTCACCTGAGTACACAGCACCAACACAGAAATAATCATATTACAAGATAACATTGGTATCGAAGGAACTAGATTGTGTTCCGAAATATCACTTACTCGAACCGACCAGACCGCGTAGCTCAGTTGGCAGAGCATTGGGCTAGTATTCCAAAGGTCGTAGGTTCGATTCCCACCGTGGCCAGGCATATTTTTCAAGCCTGCCCGATGTGGATATACACTCAGAGTAACATCACAAATATCATATTCACCTGAGTACACTACACCAACACAGAAATAATAGTATCGTAAACGTTATATGCAAAACGAAACGTAGAAAAAGCTACCATAGAATCAACGGAAAAGGCCATCATTTGCAAATATTATTTGTCGCATTTTAGCTGTACTTTGAGTATGTAAATGAGATGGGTTGGTCTTATATTTGCCTCTGAGATAAATATGATTTGCATGTTAACGTAGAAGATATTTAAACTTAGCGTATATACTATATATACAACGGAAATTTTCATAAATACAAGTACTTCTACAACCGGCACGTACGTTTGGTGACGAAGATTTTGCACGACATGCATCTGGCTTGTTCATTTGGATCAACTGAGTTCTCGGATCATCATATGAAGCTTTTCAGTATACACAGTAAGCTGATCACCAAAGCATAAAGTCGTCACAATAGATACAAGGAGCAGGTTTGGAAATTCATAAGCTGTCAATTGTCAAGGTATACATTTTCCCTCTTGCGTTAAAGTTACGTTGTCTTTGCTAATTGGCAACTATTACTATACTGTGTGTAATTATATTACTAGATTAGATAATTATATATTATATCTATGGAGCTAGACAATTCAATGACAGTGTCAGTTTAGCAATATATACTTCACAATGTGTGGTCAACTTCGGAAGAAAATGAATGAACCAAACGTAAAGTATACAATTGCAATTTCGAGACATACTGTCACTTCAATACTTGACAGCACCAACGGTAGTTAATAGTAGCTAGGTTATGTGCAAATAATCATATTGAGAGGATCGATAACAAAACCGTTAAATTGGCGACCGAAAACATCTTCAGAACGAACGGCCAGATGGAACTATTAGAGACAACAAGATCGAATGTTGATAGTATCTTTTTCAGGTAGTTCAGACACAAACCACGGCAGCTTATTGTAGAATATTACCTACACTGGATCGCCACATTTGGGAGATGCCAGGAAGCAGACAAACTTTACGAGTTATTAAAAGACACAGCACGGAAGCTTGTTATTGTCTTCCTGCATCAACGAAGCGAAAAGAAGAGTCCAATATTTCATTTTCACATATTTAGAGACATACTGACTGTTCAGTTAATTATCAATTGTAAATATCAAGAGTTTCGTCATCTACTGCATTCGATATAACATAATTGGCGATGGATTTTGAAGGAATCTTGAATGTGAAATTTTATAAAAAAATTTTTATACACTTATTATCCTATTTCCTGCGCTGTGTGAAGGTTCGAACTTTCATTTTCTGAGAAATAAATTGACAGGTGTTCCTTCTTCCTCCAATTTTTAATTTGATATTTAAAGACTTTTGACATATTATACATGAACTCAAACATAGTCACATGCATGAATCGAAAACGACGAATTTCGGATTGGTAATTTTGCTTCAACAAGTGCTTCTACATCATGTGAGTGTCACTATCGTTGAGCAGGTGCTAGTCAAACTGAGTAACTAAATTAATGTTAATTTTCTTGCTGTAGTGTAACTCTCGTCTGAAACAAAATCATGCATCGAGTGGTCATTGCTATTGTATTCATCTTGCTACCTTTTAATTATGGTGCATATTTACCAACACTTTTCTGGGACACCAGCAACCCAATGTAAGTATATATAAACTCAATTCAACATTATACACATCGCGATGTCTAGAGCTGATTAAGAATTCAAAGTCATCTGATTACATTACGTAACTCGGTTACCTCTGACCACAGGACCGAAGTTTTACTATTGCTGTCTGATTACAACTACTTCTCTTCAGTCAAACGCGAGTGTTTCCAACTTGACTCCACCAAACATAAAAAGGTTTCCTCATCTAGTAACACTTGCTCAATAAGAGATGACTCTTACTGGACCTCTAGGAAAAACGGTTTAGAACTGATAAAGCTATCCAGTTTAAATAAAGTTAGTTTAGTTTAAATTTCCTCCTGTAGTAACACTAGATCAATAAGAGATGATTCTTACTGGACCTCTAGGAAGAACGGTTTAGAACTGATAAAGCTATCCAGTATAAATAAACTTGGGTTAGTTTTAGTCAATTTAGTCACGATTATTTTGAGATACAATATCTTTACCAAAACTTTATGACATAGTTACTTACAGTTACATGCAACAATCTTTTGTGAGCAAATATTCAAGCACGATTGACCTGGCCATAACAGGAACACTAAAAAAGAAAAAACAACCTAAAACATCTCCTATGTACGCGTGCAAGAAGCCTCCTAAACTAAACTAACTTTATTTATACTGGATAGCTCTATCAGTTTTAAACTGTTCTTTCTAGAGGTCCAGTAAGGATCATGTCTTATTGATCCAGTGTTAACTACAGGAGGAAACCTAAACTAAACTAACTTTATTTATACTGGATAGCTCTATCAGTTCTAAACTGTCTAAATCTAAAGTTAAACCTTTACATAATTTAGACTAGAGAAGCAGTTCTGGCACGAGGTCGTACAAGTGAAGATATATGATTTTATAACATTTGTTTGTCCGAACGATATTATCAAAATAAGAGGCAGTGAACGAATGAATACAGATGGACGTTTTCCAAACTTGTATGTCAAAGAAGTGCCGGCGGACATCAAAAACTTTGATGGCGCTTGCGATACAAGTGGTAAGTACTCTACTATAAAGATCTTTTTCAGGTAGTTCAGACACAAACCACGACAACTTATTGTAGAATACTACCTACACTGGACCACCACATTTGAGATATCTTTTTCAGGTAGTTCAGACACAAACCACGACAGCTTATTGTAGAATACTACCTACACTGGACCACCACGTTTGAGATATCTTTTTCAGGTAGTTCAGACACAAACCACGACAGCTTATTGTAGAATACTACCTACACTGGACCACCACGTTTGAGATATCTTTTTCAGGTAGTTCAGACAAAAACCACGACATCTAATTGTAGAAGAATACTACCTACACTAGACCACCATGTTTGAGATATCTTTTTCAGGTAGTTCAGACAAAAACCACGACAGCTAATTGTAGAATACTACCTACACTGGACCACCACGTTTGAGATATCTTTTTCAGGTAGTTCAGACACAAACCACGACAACTTATTGTAGAGTACTACCTACACTGGACCACCACATTTGAGATATCTTTTTCAGGTATTTCAGACACAAACCACGACAGCTTATTGTAGAATACTACCTACACTGGACCACCACGTTTGAGATATCTTTTTCAGGTAGTTCAGACACAAACCACGGCAGCTTATTGTAGAATACTACCTACACTGGACCACCACGTTTGAGATATCTTTTTCAGGTAGTTCAGACAAAAACCACGACATCTAATTGTAGAAGAATACTACCTACACTAGACCACCATGTTTGAGATATCTTTTTCAGGTAGTTCAGACAAAAACCACGACAGTTTATTGTAGAATATTACCTACACTGGACCACCACGTAGGCATTTCAGACACAAATAACATACTAAATCGCATCGTGTTGTTTGTTATTTAGAGAACTCCACAGCCATTTTTATATTGAACTGTGACAAACCAAAAGAATTAAAATACCAGAATATTCAAATCAATCTTAATCAAGCCCATCCTGATCTACCCAAGTTTAAATATGGCAAAGATTACATGTTCTTTGGTGAGTGATATCACGTTAGTGGGTCAGCGTATGCCCTATGACAAGCAATGTGAATTAAATGATTCCTGCAATATATACAGTTCCTTGATTAAAATTTCACCTCAGTTCCAAGGGAGAAGAATGCTTCCAGTTCGACTCGACCTAATACTGCAAGATTCCTTAGTTTAGTTTAGATTTTCTCCTGGATCAATAAGAGATGACCCTTACTGGAAGAACAGTTTAGAACTGATAGAGCTATCCAGCATAAATAAAGTTAGTTTTGTTTAGGTTTCCTCCGGTCGTAACACTGGATCAATAAGAGATGATTCTTACTAGAACAGTTTAGAACTGATAAAGATATCCAGTATAAATAATAAATCCATATTTTCTCATTCTCCAGCGACCTCAGACGGAAGAGAACAATCTTTAACTAATAATACATCGAAGAACTGTACACTGGTTTTTAGAATTCATTTTAGTAAAGAAGACGTACAATCTCCCTCCTGCCCACTCTTTGACAGGAAAAATGGTAATACAATGTGCTCGCTTAAACTTAATCATAAAAAATTTAATGATAATTGCTTTGCCAGGCTTTAATTTCTGCTAATAAAAAATTCCTATTCATTTTTAGTATGTGAGAGCAACAAACCACCGCAAACAGAGCAACCGCTTACAGAACAACCGAAGCAAAACGGTATGTTTTATTATTTTATGTCAGCCATAATTTAGGCGAAACATTCTTTATTTATACTGGTGAACTCTATCAATTCTAAACTGTTCTTCCTAGAGGTCCAGTAAGGATCATCTCTTATTGATCCATTGTTACCACAGGAGGAAACCTAAACTAACTTTGTTTATGCTAGATAGCTCTATCAGTTCTAAACTGTTCTTCCTAGAGGTCCAGTAAGGATCATCTCTCATTGATCCAGTGTTACTACAGGAGGAAACCTAAACTAAACTAATTTTATTTATACGTAATAGTTCTATCAGTTCTAAACTGTTCTTCCTAGAGGTCGAGTAAGGATCATCTCTTATTAATCCAGTGTTATTACAGGAGGAAACCTAAACTAACTTTATTTACACTGAATAATTCTATCAGTCCTAAACTGTTCTCCCTAGAGGTACAGTAAGGATCATCTTTTATTGATCAGTAACACAACAGGAATAAATCGGAGTACCTCAAGAAAATCGGAATAAGCAAGCACTCTTCTCACATGTGACTGACGTGAAATTATAAAATCAGGCAACTGAATAATGCAGAAATAAAATCCCAGTCACAGAGGAGACAGATATGTCTAAGCCCCGAACACATTTGTAATGTTCCCTTTCTCATAGAATGTAAAAACATTACGCCGCAAGAACTTAATACAAAAACAATCACTGGTAACAAAGTAAGTGTATCCTGGCAACCCCCGAGCAACATCGCGTGCAACATAACATACTACACGGTGTGTTACCGAGAGAATTTGACCGAGCCTTGTCGAGAGGTCTTGGCACCAGCAAAACAACGTAACGTCACTTTATGTGAGTTGGCCGCTGACCAGAAGTATATTGTCAAAGTGCGGGCTCACACGGCAAAAGGTCCTGGAAACTACAGCAAGGAGAAGACTTTCGAAACAGATAGGAAGAAAGGTGGGTATAAAAAATTATCAATTAGAATCAATTGGATATCAATATACAATTACTTTATGGTTTCCGTGTTTGCATGGCCTGATCCAAACACGCGGGAATGTTGCGAGGGTTAAGAAAAGCGAGGGAAATCACGAGCCGAAGGCGAGTGATTTTGCCCGCTTTTCTTAACTCGAGCAACATTCCCAAGTGTTTGGATCATTCCATCCAAACACGGAAACCATAAAGTAATTGTTTTATAAAATAACAACAACACGATAGTCTTCCGTGTTTGGATGGCCTGATCCAAACACGGGTTTCGACCAATCAGAATACGCGTTATGTACATGTTATTTTATAATAGAATTTCATTGAGTGACAGTGGGATTTTCAAAACAATGAAAAGACAATGGAATACTCTGATCACTGGATCATGACTGGATGGCATGAAGAACAGTGGGATTTTCAAAACAATGAAAAGACAATGGAACATTCTGATCACTGGATCATGACTGGATGGTATGGAGAACAGTGGGATTTTCAAAGCAATGAAAAGACAATGGAACATTCTGATCACTGGATGACATGGAGAACAGTGTGATTTTCAAACCAATGAATAGACAATGGAACATTCTGATCACTGGATCATGACTGGATGGCATGGAGAACAGTGAGATTTTCAAAACAATGAAAAGACAATGGAACATTCTGATCACTGGATCATGACTGGATGGCATGGAGAACAGTGGGATTTTCAAAGCAATGAAAAGACAATGGAACATTCTGATCACTGGATCGTGACTGGATGACATGGAGAACAGTGTGATTTTCAAAACAATGAAAAGACAATGGAACATTCTGATCCCTGGATCATGACTGGATGGCATGGGTACCGTGGGCGCCACCTGGAATGTTGCTAAAAATAGGACTTGATTTATGGAAAAAAATTAGATACTCTTCATAAGTTTACTTTCTTATTTGGTGGGTTTGAGTCAGCGTTACAGGGCAGCGGATGGTTGTCAACCTCAGAAAAGTTGACACTTTAAAAGGAAAAATATTGAACCGTTAGCTACGGATCTAACCAATGTACCAAACAACGGTGAAATGACTTCAATTTCCATCATAATGTTATTTCCACTTTTAAAAGCTCGGAGAGATTAAGTCTTGAGGTAAAATACTTGCCATTTGCAAGCTATTGAACTAACATCTTTTAACCGTTGCCACAGTTCTTAACTTTAAATTGAACTTTGTTACAGTGCCAGAGTGCCATGACGTCAGCACAACATCAACAACAACAACACCATCAACACCAAAAACCTCTCAATCTACAACCACAGATGGGAACGATACTGGTACCAAAGGAAGAACCACACCAAGCCCCACTCAGCAAGGAAACGCAGCAGGAAAAGGGTCCGATACCAAGAGTTGGGATAGATTCGCATATGGTTTTCTTGCTGGATTCGTGACGTTGTTGATCCCGATTATTGTCACTGCTTTTATTTACTGTCTACTCTGTCGATTACAGAAAACGAAGAAGAAAAAAAGTAATTACCGTAAGATTATCTGGTTAATTCAAAGTTAATGCTACAGTTCTCACTAGTTTAGGTTTCCTCCTGTATAGGAGATTACTTTTACTGGACCTCTAGGAAGAACAGTTTAGAACTGATAAAGCTATCCAGTATAAATAAAGTTAGTTTTGTTTAGGTTTCCCCTGTAGGATATAACACTGGCACAATACGAGATTATCCTTACTGGACCTCTAGGGAGAACAGTTTAGAACTGATAGTGCTATCCAGTATAAATAAAGTTAGTTTAGTTTAGGTTTCCTCCTGTAGTAATACTGAATCAATAACAGATGATCCTCACTGGACCTCTAGGGAGAACAGTTTAGAACTGATAGAGCTATCCAGTATAAATAAAGTTAGTTTAGGTTTCCTTCTGTACTAACACTGGATCAATAACAGATGATCCTTACTGGACCTCTAGCGAGAACAGTTTAGAACTGATAGAGCTATCCAGTCTAAATAAAGTTAGTTTTGTTTAGGTTTCCTCCTGTAGTAACACTGGATCAATAAGAGATGATCCTTACTGGAGCTCTAGGAAAAACAGTTTAGAACTGATTGAGCTATCCAGTATAAATAAAGTTAGTTTAGTAAATAAAGTTGTTTCTAATTTTATTTCAGCAAATGGCGTTTGTCAATATAACGGTCAAGATCAAAGCACTGCTATCAGCAATGTAGGATCACCAGAGGCACTACCGAAGAAATCTCTTTTGTCCAAATATAATAGTAAGTTTTAGACGCCTATATGATTGGACAGGAGAAACTTATTTTCGCTCTGGTCATTTGCTTCGTTTTAATACCAAGGCATTTCAATAATTAGTACAAATATTTTGTGTTTATAGACATAGGTTTTAAATCAGAGACTTTGGAAGGAGACAGTCCTGCCTAAAAGAATTTACCCTTTGAATCAGGTAAACTAAATTGTATTTAATTATCTAAAAACAATTGCATTTAATCCTCGAACCAACGACGCGGAGCGCCGTTGTATTCCCTTGTAATCCATTCCATTATAATCTATTGAGTATTGTATTGCATTGTATTGTATTCCATTGTGTTCTATTGTATTCTATTGCATTCTAATTTATTGTATTGTATTCTATTGTGTTCCATTGTATTCTATTGTCTGTGACTGTATTCTATTGTGTTCTATTATATTCTCTTTTAATCTTGCATTCTATTGTATTAATTATCAAGGATTCTTTTCTACTTCTATTGTGTTTCCACTACAACCACTAATTTTGATTGTATTTTGCAATTTTCTATAGACACAAAAGACCACCTTCCCTCCTCACAAACTGAATCTCGTAGAAAACATATGATATACTCCCAGACAATGAATGGGAAATAATTCACAATTAAAACGGTGTTGTGAAAAAAACAATTTTTTAACTGGTTTTACAGTTGTAAATAAAAATGTAGTTAATAAAATAGGTTTCATAAAATTACAATTTTGGGCATTATAAATGCAAAATACTTATCATTGAGTCACTTAGTTTTATATTATCGTTCCACAGTTTTTCATTAGATACAATTACATCTCACAAGCACCTATGGTAATCAATCTAACCACGCCCATACCAATGTTTACATGAGAGTTTTCTCAACCTTCATTGCTTGATCAAACGAGAACAAGAGTTGCATGAGAGTTGACAAGTGAGAGTTTACATGAGAGTTTTCTCAACTTTCATTGCTTGATCAAACGAGAACAAGAGTTGCATGAGAGTTGACAAGCGAGAGTTTACATGAGAGTTTTCTCAACTTTCATTGCTTGATCAAACGAGAACAAGATCTGTATGAGAGTTGACAAGCGAGAGTTTACATGAGAGTTTTCTCAACTTTCATTACTTGATCAAACGAGAACAAGAGTTGCATGAGAATTGACAAGCGAGAGTTTACATGAGAGTTTTCTCAACTTTCATTGCTTGATCAAACAAGAACAAGAGTTGCATGAGAGTTGACAAGCGAGAGTTTGCATAAGAGTTTTCTTGTCTTTTATTGCTTGATAAAAAGAGAACAGGAGTTGTATTAGAGTTGGTGTGTTCAAACACGAGCGAGATTTGCAACTCTCATCCTTGTTTGATGAAGGGTTTAGTGTGGTTCGTTGCACGAGAAAAAGTCAACTGCTTCAAAGAATTATCTTTCTACTGCGTTAAAACTCACATTTTCTTGTGGACTGACGTTCTTCCGATAATGTCTTCCTGATTATTCGTATATCCCAGGACTTCCTCATTCATCTCGAGAGCCTCGAAATTCCTGCGCCTGAAAATGACGCAAATGAGGTCGTTAAAATAAACGGGTATGCAGGTCCCACCTGTAAGGCGGTAAAGACTGATTTACATACAAAACAGCTTTGGAGTACGGCAGCAACAGACGTTTCTGACAGGTCGCAAATAAACTAAAATTTCAAAACCATGAGAAGTCTACTATAAACCCACAAGATTTGAACTCGTTTCGTTCATTACAGGAATAGTAGTACAAACACGAGTGATATGTGAAAAAGTGTCCCAAAAATTACGTGAAAATTCTTCGTTTTCTTACACGTGGCAGGTAAGTGTAAATTAAATACGATAAAAGCATAGCAACAAAGATATTGATTTTCAATAACATAAGATAAAATTCAGCTGAGAAACATCTCGTTCTTTTCATTTTTCTCACGAGAATTATCTCGCGACAGAAGAATGTGAGAATGTTTATATTCAGTTCTCATGACGAACAGCACCAAAACAATGCAACTCTCCGGTCGTAAATTAACATAGTATATTAAGTTACACAAGAATACGGACCAATAAATACCATACTATACTAGAAATTGATACAATTCTATTTTGAAGCCTTGATCACCATCGAGTTTCTATTTAGAACTACTTGAAGAATACAAGAAAAACTTCGACGTTGAAGGCCGCTCCTCGGAAAGTAACTTTTCAACGAAGGGCCTTCGCTCGAAACGTCGAAATTCAGTTCTTCTATTCTCCAGGTACTTCTATCCCTATCAATCCACAGTGGTGTTCTAATCGCCACTAGAGAGTTTAAGTTCGACTTCCGATACCAATACCGATACTAACAACATGTCATGCGCATGCTCTCTGCTCGCAAGAAGCACGAGGACAAGTGTATTGGAAGTCACCACTACCGAAGTCGGCCTTGTATTGGAAGTCGGGGGAATTGTAAGATAAACTCATATAGATCGGATATTTCATACTTTTTACGATAAACATGTAAACTATTTGTTTATTAGCATCGCCTGAGTCATGTTTTAGTCGGAATTTTAGCTCAGCTGCCGTTTAGTATACCGCACATTTTCGGTGACGATTAATGTGTTCTATACTTTATTTGTAGTACTAACTAAACGCTTTAAAATTCCCGGTACCAAAATGAGAACGGAAGTGAAAACATTGGTATCGGTATTGGTATTGGAAGTCGAACTTAAACTCTCTACGACCCACACTGGTACAGAACTGTTTGTGATTTACAAACAGAACCATATTTCCACTCGGAAAAATTTTCCGCGAAAAGAAAAATTCGTAAAATATGATTTGGCCGACACGAATTTTTCGTCGGAAAAAAATTTGGAAGATGAAAATTTTCCAACTTTTAACAATGATATTTTCGGAAAATTTTCTGTCCGCGGACATTTTTCTTGAGTGGAAATGGGTCTAAAGAGAGATTCAGACAAGTTCAGATCTCAGAAGACTTGAAGAAAAATATACTGTGGGTGTATTGACAACGTATTTTTGTGGACGTGATCAACAAACATGACGCTTGAGAGCAATTGTCACATGCTCATAATTCAACGTCTTTTGAGACTGTCGAAACTTGCACGATTGATAGAGCAGACAGCAGTTGACAACTTTTGAGGGATTCAAGAAATATGCTATTTAGAGAAAACATTCTTTTTTTCAATGGTGCGTTTTTGCGTCCAAGTGTTCAAAACCGAATTTTTTTTTGCGTAACGTATAACATATACACAAGATTCTCGTTTTCAATAGACAATTTCCAACTCACATTAAGTCAGATTATATATATATATATATAATAATATAATTTTCATTACGCGGAATTTTTCTTTGTCGTCTGATTTCAGGGGTGGAACTAATTAGAAAAGACAAAGAAAAATTCCGCTCCGCGCGCAAAATTCCGCCTAAAAGTCTAAACACAATGGACGCGATTCGATCCATCATCAAAACCTAAAACTAATTCTTAACCCATCCCTAACCTAAGGGTTTGCTGGTAAGAAATTAGATAATACGTATGCCAGTAAAATATGGCTGATTTCTTCTGACTATTCGATAGAGTCATTGACATATGGCATGTTCCTGGCTCTGATGAAAAACATTTTTAATTTGATCCAAAAATTTAAATTGTTTAATTTGCGCACATTTGACGTGCATGGAAGACTAGTGTCGATTAAAATTATTTTTACACTTTAAAATTATTTCCTGCGATTTTCAAAAATTATTTCGCGTTTCAACGCAAAAAAATATATCCTCCCACTGGCCGTGCATGTGATTTAAATACAATGATGTAAAATATCGGCCCTTCCTGCCGTCCTGGTCCTAAGAAAACGTAGGTGTAACAATAAAACAACCATTTGGCATATTCTTGCATATCTGGTATAGAACTGAGGATATTCAAGCCTTTCAAGGTCACAGTATACAATTATTTATGGTTTCTGTGTTTGGATGGCCTGATCCAAACACGCGGGAATGTTGCGAGAGTTAAGAAAAGCGCGCGAAAACACGAGCCGAAGGCGAGTGATTTTGCGCGCTTTTCTTAACTCGAGCAACATTCTCAAGTGTTTGGATCAGGCCATCCTAACAGGGAAACCATAAAGTAATTGTTTTATAAAATAACAACAACACGATAGTCTTCCGTGTTTGGATGGCCTGATCCAAACACGGGTTTCGACCAATCAGAACACGCGTTATATACATGTTATTTTATAATATTATTTCCATGTATAGTATACATATTCTTGAATGTGAGCTACATTAAGGTTATACGATGGTGTACAGAACTCACTGCTGAGTTAAGCATGGTTAGATCATACAGAGATAGTACATGTTCTTGAATGTGAGCTACCTTAAAGTGATCTGATGTTGTACAGAACTCACTGCTGAGTTAAGCATGGTTAGATCATACAGAGATAGTACATGTTCTTGAATGTGAGCTACCTTAAAGTGATCTGATGTTGTACAGAACTCACTGCTGAGTTAAGCATGGTTAGATCATACAGAGGTAGTACATGTTCTTGAATGTGAGCTACCTTAAAGTGATCTGATGTTGTACAGAACTCACTGCTGAGTTAAGCATGGTTAGATCATACAGAGGTAGTACATGTTCTTGAATGTGAGCTACCTTAAAGTGATCTGATGTTGTACAGAACTCACTGCTGAGTTAAGCATGGTTAGATCATACAGAGGTAGTACATGTTCTTGAATGTGAGCTACCTTAAAGTGATCTGATGTTGTACAGAACTCACTGCTGAGTTAAACATGGTTAGATCATACAGAGGTAGTACATGTTCTTGAATGTGAGCTACCTTAAAGTGATCTGATGTTGTACAGAACTCACTGCTGAGTTAAGCATGGTTAGATCATACAGAGGTAGTACATGTTCTTGAATGTGAGCTACCTAAAAGTGATCTGATGGTGTACAGAACTCACTGCTGAGTTAAGCATGGTTAGATCATACAGAGGTAAGTACATGTTCTTGAATGTGGGCTACCTTAAAGTGATCTGATGTTGTACAGAACTCACTGCTGAGTTAAGCATAGTTAGATCATACAGAGGTAGTACATGTTCTTGAATGTGAGCTACCTAAAAGTGATCTGATGGTGTACAGAACTCACTGCTGAGTTAAGCATGGTTAGATCATACAGAGGTAAGTACATGTTCTTGAATGTGGGCTACCTTAAAGTGATCTGATGTTGTACAGAACTCACTGCTGAGTTAAGCATAGTTAGATCATACAGAGGTAGTACATGTTCTTGAATGTGAGCTACCTTAAAGTGATCTGATGTTGTACAGAACTCACTGCTGAGTTAAGCATAGTTAGATCATACAGAGGTAGTACATGTTCTTGAATGTGGGCTACCCTAAAGTGATCTGATATTGTAAAGAATTTACTAAATTTCTCCCGAGGAATCTCCTAGCTTCTGTGAGGCCATTATCCCATGTCCAACCATTCAAAATACAAGCACAAAGAATCTTTATCCATATATAAACATGTCTCGAGAATATACGTGGAATTATATCTAATATAAAAAAGCCTTAAAAAGGAATTGAATGGCCAATATTAACAACCTAGGTGGTGTCAGGGTGTCTCTTTAACGTCAAGTGATTATATGCAAATGCCTTCCTTTTAAAACAAACTATTATCTTATAATTATATAAGTTCCTCTATGGGCTCAGAACTTTAAGGGATTTATAAAAAATAGAATTAGTAAGGTCACCCTAGGTTATAGTTAAATGTCAATAGTTAAATTAAAATCATTTATCATAACACAAAGGTTCCTCAAATCTAGTGGACGAGCCAGTATATTTTCTTCAGGATATTCGGCAACTCTTAGACTACTCTATATACTATTATATGCATACGCCTTTTGTGAGAATAAAAAATGAATGAAATAGTATCGTAAACGTTAATTGACAAAATTTTCTGAACATAAATCTAGAAGTAGACCACCATTTTTCGAAGTGTATCAAGTATAATCGTATAAAGTATAAAGCATCCTTATGTTTTAATACGTTTAAGAACAAGCTAATTTAGCAAATTAATTCAGCCACTACAATGCTTATATTACGCCAACACGATTGTTAAATAGCTATATAGATTCCTAAAATATAACAGTCTCGTATTAAAGTTAGATCATAAAGGTTTCTGGTATGATAACGTAGAAAAAGCTACCATAGAATCTATAGAAAAGGCCATCGTTTTCAAATATTATTTTATCACATTTAAACTACTTTATATGCAAATGACAGGTGGGTTGGATTTAGATATTTGCTCCAGAACTACGATGAATTATGATTTGCATGTACCCACAGGAAGTTTTCACAAACTACAAGTACTTCTACAACGCACGTTTGGTCATGACACACGACAACTGCCGGATCTAGTTTGTTCATTTGGATCAACTGTGTTCTCGGATCATCATATGAAGCTATTAAGTATATGTACACATTAGGCTAAGGAGGATTTAATCGTATTAATAAGCTGATCACCAAAGCATAAAGTCTCGACAATATATACAGGCGAGCAGGTTTGGAAATCGACAAGTTGTCAACTAAAAAAGGTATAAATTCGTTCTCTTGCGTTAAAGTTACGTTGTCTTCGCTAATTGGCAACTGTTACTCTACTGTGTGTAAGCAACTTAATATTATAAACAGTTTATAGACTAGATAATTATATACTATACAAATATCCATCGAGTTAGACAATTAAATGACAGTATTTTGACAGTATCAGTTTGGCAATATACTTCACAATTGGTGTGTTCCCACAAGCGCTACGGGCGGTCAACTTCAGATACGTTGACAGGAGTAAGAAAATGAGCCAAACGTAAAGTATACAATTGAAATATGGAGACATACTGTCACTTTAATATTTGACAGCACCAACGGCAGTTAATAGTAGCTAGGTTATGTAAAAATAATCATATTGAGAGGATTTCTTATTTGTTTTAAATTAACACAAAACCGTTACATTGGCGACCGAAAACAACTTTAGAACGAAAGGCCAGACGGGACTTATTAGAGAGACAGCTTATTGTAGAATACTATACCTACACTGGACCACCACGTTTAAGATATCTTTTTCAGGTAGTTCAGACACAAACCATGACAGCTTATTGTAGAATATTACCTACACTGGACCACCACGTTTAAGTATCTTTTTCAGGTAGTTCAGACACAAACCACGACAGCTTATTGTAGAATACTACCTACACTGGACCACCACGTTTGAGATATCTTTTTCAGGTAGTTCAGACACAAACCACGGCAGCTTATTGTAAAATACTACCTACACTGGACCATCACGTTTGAGATATCTTTTTCAGGTAGTTCAGACACAAACCACGACAGCTTATTGTAGAATACCACCTACACTAGACCTCCACTAGACTTGGGAGATGCCATGAACAAAGCACGGAAGCTTGTTATTGTCTTCCTACATCAACTAAGCGAAACGAACAGTCCCATATTTCACTTTCACTTATTTAGAAAGATACTGACTGTTCAGTTGTCAATTGTAAATATCAAGAGTTTGGGCAGCCACACTCGATATAATTGGAGATGGATTTTGTAGATGTAAATCTCGAATGTGAAATTTTATACAGACATTTTTATACATTTATTATCCTATTTCCTGCGCTGTGTGAAGGTTCGAACTTTCATTTTCTGAGAAATAAATTGACAGGTGTTCCTTTAATTTGATATTTAAAGACTTTTGACATATTATACATGAACTCAAACTTAGTCACATGCATGATGCATGAACCGAAAACGATGAATTTCGATTGGTATATTTTTACATCAACAAGTGCTTCTCTATCATGTGAGTGTCACTATTGTTCAGCAGGTGCTGGTCAATCTGAGTGACTAAATTAATGTTAATTTTTTCTTGTAGTGTAACTCTCGTCTGAAACAAAATCATGCATCGTGTGGTCATTGCTATATTATTCATCTTGCTACCTTTTACTTATGGTGCATATTTACCAACACTTTTCTGGGACACCAGCAACCCAATGTAAGTATATATAAACTCGATTCAACATTATACACATCGCGATGTCTAGAGCTGATTAAGAATTCAAAGGCATCTGATTACATTACGTAACTCGGTTGACTACAGGACCGAAGTTTATTGGTGTCTGATTACAACAATTTCTCCTCAGTCAAACGTTAGAAGAGTGCTTCCACTTTGACTCTACCAAACAGCACAGGTTTTCTTTGAGAACTCTGGTTTCGTTCTGAAGTAACACTGGATCAATAAGAGATGACTCTTACCGGACGTCTAGGGAGAACAGTTTAGAACTGATAGAGCTATCCAATATAAATTAAAGCTGGTTTAGTTTTAGTCATGGTTATTTTAAGATGCTCGATGCTCTACACCCTCTGTACAGAGGAAGCCGCACAACATCTTTATCAAAACTTTGTGACATATAAACAGAGTTAGTTACAGTTACATGCAACAATCCACACCCTTTGTACAAAGGAAGCCATACAAGATCTTTAGAAAACTTGTAAACACTTACTTACAGTTACATACAGCAATCTTTTGTAAGCCAATATTCAGGCACGATTGACCTGGCCATAACAGGAACACTAAAGAAAAAAAAACAAAGTGCAACTTAAAACATCCTGTATTTGCGTGCAAGCCTCCTAAACTAAACTAACTTTATTTATACTCGTGACAGCTCTATCAGTTCCAAACTGTTTTTCCTAGAGGTCCAGTAAGGATCATCTCTTATTGATCCAGTGTTAACTACAGGAGGAAACCTAAACTAAACTAACTTTATTTATACTGGATAGCTCTAGCAGTTCTAAACTGTTTTTCCTAGAGGTCCAGTAAGGATCATGTCTTATTGATCCAGTGTTAACTACAGGAGGAAACCTAAACTAAACTAACTTTATTTATACTGGATAGCTCCATCAGTTCTGAACTGTCTAAATCTAAAGTTAAACCTTTACATAATTTAGACTAGAGAAGCAGTTCTGGGACGAGGTCGTACAAGTGAAGATATATGATTTTATAACATTTGTTTGTCCGAACGATATTATCAAAATAAGAGGCAGTGAACGAATGAATACAGATGGACGTTTTCAAAATTTGTATGTCAAAGAGGTGCCGGCGGACATAAAAAACTTTGATGGCGCTTGCGATACAAGTGGTAAGTACTGTACTATAAAGATTTTTTTCAAGTCGTTCAGACACAAACCACGACAGCTAATTGTAGAAGAATACTACCTTCACTGGATCACCACGTTTGAGATATCTTTTTCAGGTATTTCAGAGACAAATAACATACTAAATCGCGTCGTGTTCTTTGTGTTACTTAGAGAACTCCACAGCCATTTTTATATTGAACTGTGACAAACCAAAGGAATTGAAATACCAGAATATTCAAATCAATCTTAATCAAGCCCACCCTGATCTACCCAGGTTTGAATATGGCAAAGATTACATGTTCTTTGGTGAGTATAATATCACAGTGCATGGGTCAGCGTATACGCGATGACAAAGGTTAAATAATTCCAGCAATATGCAGTTGTTTCATTAAAATTTCACCTCAGTCACATGTCAGAAGAACGCTTCCAGTTTGACTCTACCAAATACAACAAGATTCCTTTAATAGTAAAATTGAATCATTAATCTTGGCCCTTAGCGGGCCTCTAGGAAGAACAGTTTAGAACTGATGGAGCTATCCACTATAAATAAAGTTAGTTTAGTTTAGGTTTCCTCCTGTAGTAACACTGGATCAATAAGAGATGATTCTTACTGGACCTCTAGGAAGAACAGTTTAGAACTGATGGAGCTATCCACTATAAATAAAGTTAGTTTAGTTTAGGTTTCCTCCTGTAGTAACACTGGATCAGTAAGAGATGATCCTTACTGGACCTCTAGGAAGAACAGTTTAGAACTGATAGAGCTATCTAGCATAAATAAAGTTAGTTTAGTTTAGGTTTCGTCCTGTAGTAACACTGGATCCATAAGAGATGACTCTTACTGGACCTCTAGGGAGAACAGTTTAGAACTGATGGAGCTATCCAGAATAAATAAAGTAAGTTTAGGTTTCCTCCTGTAGTAACACTGGATCAATAAGAGATGGCCCTTACTAGAACAGTTTCGACCTGACGAAGCTATCCAGTATAAATAATAAATCCATATTTTTCTCTTTCTTCAGCGACCTCAGACGGAAGAGAACAATCTCTAACTAATAATACATCGAAGAACTGTACACTGGTTTTTAGAATTCATTTTAGTGAGAAAGAAGTGCAATCTCCCTCCTGCCCACTCTTTGACAGGAAAAATGGTAATACAATGTGCTCGCTAAAACTTATTCATAGAAAATTTAATAATTGCTTTGCCAGGCTTTAATTTCTGCTAATAAAAAAATCCTATTCATTTTTAGTATGTGAGAGCAACAAGCCACCGCAAACAGAGCAACCGACTACAGAGCAACCGCATACAAAGCAACCGAAGCAAAACGGTATGTTTTATATCAGACATAATTTAGGCGAAACGTTCTTTATTTATACTGGATAGCTCTATCAGTTGTAAACTGTTCTTCCTAGAAGTCCAGTAAGGATCATCTCTTATTGATCCAGTGTTACTACAGGAGAAAACCTAAACTAAACTAACTTTATTTGTACTGGATAGTTCTATCAGTTCTAAACTGTCCTTCCTAGAGGTCCAGTAAGGGTCATCTCTTATTGATCCAGTGTTACTACAGGAAGAAACCTAAACTAAACTAACTTTATTTATACTGGATAGCTCTATCAGTTCTAAACTGTTCTCCCTAGAGGTCCAGTAAGGATCATCTCTTATTGATCCAGTGTCACTACGGGAGGAAACCTAAACTAAACTAACTTTATTTATACTGGATAGCTCTATCAGTTCTAAACTGTTCTTCCTAGAGGTCCAGTAAGGATCATCTCTTATTGATCAGTGTTACTACAGGAGGAAACCTAAACTAAACTAACTTTATTTATACTGGATAGCTCTATCAGTTCTAAA